TGTAAAACAGTGAAAATCCTTAGTAGTCAAACGTCCACAGGTTGACACTGCGTAAAACGCATGATTGCAACAGCTACCCTGTTGCGCGCCGCTATTTATTGTTTTATCCTTACGGTTCTCCCATATTTGTGAATAGCTTTGCTCGTCACACATGTGCATTTGTTTGTAGAGCTTTTTCATGATTAGCCTAAAATCCTTCGCTTGCATATCACTTTAATCATTCTATGTAGCACACGTTACGCAAAACGCGCTCTTTATATGTTTGTCAGATAAACACTTGTGCTGCTTCAGTGAAGTTTTCCCATAAATTTTAGGAGCAGCTACTGCAAGTGGTAGTTCGTCATCGCCACCAGCGGAAGCGGCAGCAACGGCTGCAGGTGGCTCGGCATCCGCAGTTAGTGGTGAGCCAACGACAACAGATGCATGAGCGTCAGGGGCAGTTACAGTGGGAATATAAGTTGATAACACTCTCAGCGCATAATGATCACAGTTTGTAAGGCTTTGGTGGCAGTGCAACAGTAAAAAGATAGGATGCTTTTTGGAAGTTCTCGTGCTGATATCTACGTCTGTGTATATAATTATGATATTATTTCCGCAAGTTTGTGCCGTTGTCGGATTCAGCGTGCTTTTTATAATTATTTTAAACTTTTGATGTTTGATCGGTTGAGAGAGGGGAACGGGAGAAAGTGTTTGTAACAAACGGAGCAGCAGTTGATATGAAGCAGCAGCTAATACTGTTCTGGGTATTTGTCTGCAGTGCAGCATCAGCGATTTCATTTTCTCGTCATTTTTACATTTCGTGGTTACTTTTGTGCACTGCATTGAGCGTCGCATCCCCCACGTATGCTCAGACAAAGACATTTCGGGGATTCGCCCTTTCGATATAATTTTTTCTTGAAGCGACTGCTCTCTTTCCGCCCCAGCTTTGACAGTTTCAAAATTGTTCTGCGTTAAAGTATGATCGGTTTGCGTAGAAAAGCAGCGGCGGCGGCAGCATTAGCAACAGCAGCAGCAAAATGCTGAACTAACATTTCTTTGTTGTATTACTTTAGTCTCTCTACTTGTCGATTATCTTTTGTACTGGAATTGAGATGATCCATAATCTTATGCCTAGCATATTAAAAACAGTATGAACTTTTTTCAGCGATTTGTAACTTTTCATATGTGCACACTTATTCTTTATACCAGTTTTCCTTTTTGTCCTGTCAAGCAGTGTTTACGCAGGTGTACACGATGGAATCACCATTCTCTTTGTGAATTGGTACATTCTTTTGATTGTTTCAATGGAACTGTGAAGTACATGGTTTCTTTGCAGCATCACTTCAAATGTACACGGCAAAAGAAATTGTATCCTTTTGATGTATCGTATTTTGCGTTTTTCTTGTGCATTCTGCATGTTTTGTAAAAAACGCATTTTGGCGATATCTCCTCTCTCTCTCTCTCTCTCTCTCTCTCTCTCTCT